ACGAGCCCTCATACCCTAAAGTCCTAACCCTTTGCCTCTCGAAACCTGCAAGCCCCTAGTCCTAAAACCCTACACCCCTAAACCCTAAACCCTAATTAGACCTGCAGGATAGAGGAGAAAAACTCCAATACAAGAAAAAACATCCAAAAAAATTGACATCCCATCCTAAACCCTACACCCCTAAAGCCCTGACACCCATCCCTGAGGATGTCTACCTGGCCATGTACGGGCTGGTCGGTGTACGGGGCTCGATCTCGGCTAAGACTACAGGGGTCGGACAGGCCGTCCCTGGGCAGCAGAAAGGTTCTCAGGGTTTAGGTTCGAGCGCTCTAACAGGAAAATAACAATATCTAAACAGTAGAATACAATGTAATCATCACAGAACAGAGTAATAACAATATATTATTAGTTTAAGGTCTTCAGGTTCAGGCCCATAGGGGGGGACAGATCAAGCCATCACCAGATAATCGACCATAGTCGCGTATACTTACTGTCATTTGTTGACAGCAGTAGCTTTGTTTGGCAGTATCCTAAACCCCAAACTCTAATCCTACTCGGTGAGGACTTAGAGCTCTGGATTTACGAGTTGCTTCCTACCACAAACCTGAGATTTAGGAGTTGGAGTCTGGGTGTACATTATATCGAGCCCTGAACCGTAAACCTTGTTAGGGTTCAGAGTTAAGGCGAGGATTGAGGATTTGCGAGGCTTTGGTGTTTAGGGCGATGCTGGGGTCGAGGAGTGACAGGACCTAAGCCCTAAAACTTACCTTTGGTTCGCTGGGAATGAAGGAATCGAAAAAGCCTGGAAACTGTTATAATGAGTTTTATAGGGACTACTATAAGGATCCATTCCTTCATGCCAATCTAACCAAAGATCAGAAAAAACTCTGGATCCCCAAGCCCTTAATGGGGTCATAAAGGGATGTCAGCATCTTGATATGGAGGGGAAGGCAAAAGAAGTGGAAACGAAACTACGACATGTTTTACGTTCTAGGGTGTAGGACAAAATCTAGACCTTCAGATCTTGCGAATGCAACCGCATGAAACAGGATTTGTTTACGGTTTACGGTTTGGGGGACCTGGGCCCTGAACTTAGGTTGAAGGTTTTTGGGTATAATAGGTGTACTAGTCGTGGCAGCTGCAGCCAAGCACCTGAATGCACTTGCAGGCCTTCGGCCAAGCATGAATTCAAGCTGCCTAGGGTCCCATCATCACTAGATGCTAAACGCCCCAGGGTTTAGGGTTTACGGCCCCTTGGTGGGGGATTGCGGAGACCATTCCGCTCTGTCGGGAGCATTTAGCGTGGACCCTTGCTTTAGGAATCTTAAGGAGCTACCACATCCCTCTTCAGCCCGCCAGCTAGACGAATGGTTATGTACGCGGATGGCTCGTGCATTGTATATACTAGCTTTCCAGCCCATGAGTGTCGCAAACTCTATACCCCTAAACAACACTACTGAGATAGGCCACATACCCCAACCCTGCTAAACAAACCCTAAATCCTCAACCCTAACCCTGGGGTTCCACATGGCCCAACGTAGCTATGTTCTAACACTTCAGGGCTCAACATGGGTATTAGTTTTACACTTAGAGTCCCAGGATAAACCCCGCAGCTGTTCACCCTCAGAGCCCCAAACCCAAAGGCTTAGGGTTTAGGGTTTAGGGCTTACGGTTTATGGTTTAGGGTTTAGGGTTTAGGGCTTACGGTTTATGGTTTAGGGTTTAGGGTTTAGGGCTTACGGTTTAGGGTTTAGGGCTGGGGGTTTAGGGTTTAGGGTTTAGGGCCGGGGTTTAGGGTTTTGGGTTTAGGGTGCTTAGCTTGGCATGAGGGAATGGATCCTCATGGTAACCCCTGTATGATCTATAGTCTAACCTTCTTAAGGGGGGTTATATAGGGGATTATATAGGGGAGAACTATAAGGGGTTATTACAGGGAATAATAGGAGTTGATACAATGGCTCATATGATCCCCAAGAATAACCCCTGCAAGTCAATAGCCCCTACGGCACAACCCAAACAAAGACTCCAGGGGCTACTGCCTGACGCAGTACTGGATGAAGATGCAAACGCTCGCAGCGCAGGAGGCACAGTGAATCCTTCCCCCCTAATAAAACCCACCCCTTCCGTCCCGCAACCCCCAAAAAAGGGACTAGACAGGGGTATACATTTTTAAGTTTTGAGTTCAGGGCCAACAATACCCGCCCCCTCTCCTGACAACAAGTAGTCTTCCCATTACAGAAGGGCATTATTATATTGTGGGTACTTACTAGGGGAGTGGACTGTGATTCGGGCAGGGGTTACAGGGGCTTCATTTGATGAGTAGGGGTTGTTCTCTGATCTTAGCATTCAGAGGGTCCCTAAACCTTGCATCCTAAGCCCTAAACCCTTCTTGGAGGTGCTCTTGATGCTGAGTCACAAAAGGAATCCATATGTCCGCATGTTCATTGAAGTAAGCTTCGAGCTAGGCTTAGCATGCAACTACAGCATGTTCTGCATCGTTCTCACTACGAAACATGCTTCTAAACGCCAATCGTGCGCAATCAGTCCATAGGAACCCTAAACGCCTTTCCCAAAGCCCAAATCAATAAGATCTGTCCTTAGATGCAGGCATTACGAAGCTGATGTCGGCTTCCAACGCAGGCACGCTGCGCGGCAGGGTGCATCCTCATGGTCCAAGTCAGCAACAGGGTCTTGGGTAAAAAACACCATGGACATGTCCAATACTAGGGTTTGTAGGTACCCAACAACCATTCACATTGTATTTGCCTTCGGGGGACTTCTGAGAGAGTGGGCCCCATAAGAATGATTCTTGCATTTGAAACTATATGAAGGAAATCTTTGTTTCCTGAAGTGTCCAAGTATTCAACAACCATATACTTCCCAAACCTGTTCTACAGTCACTAGCACTAAAATCCCAAGTAGACAATCATCCCTAAACCCTAAACCCTAAACGTTCCCACGGACCCTTGAGTTTCTAGAACCACCTCCTATTTATGATTGAGTAGGAGTTCTGCTTCAGCTTGGGCAGTCACTCTCAGACTCATGTGAAATGGGATCGCTCTTGTGGGTGTATGCAGGGTGCCTTGGGGATGTCAGTGAGAGTATGTTTTAGAGTTTAGGGTTTAGGGAATTTGTGCCCAATTAAGGCGGCATCCGAGTGTTGTGCTCATTGAAGGAACTTACAGTATGCGGAGACCCCGCCCAATATTCCCGAGAAGCATCCAGCAGGTTTAACGACACAGTCGAGGGTCCGGGGTTTCGGGTTTAGAGAACAAGTCTGACCATGGAAGCTCAGTATGGTCAGCCTGTTTTTGCACACACCTTGCCATGAGTTGCGCAGGGTAGCTGTGAATCGCTTCATCTTACTTGGAGTGTCAGGGAGACTTAGTAAGGATGCTAATAACCCCTATAAGACATATAGCAACCCCAATTATCCCCATTTTCAAACTACTTACTCAGTGACCCTGACCCTCCAAGTAAGGGTCCACAAGGTAGACATTCAAACCCATCTGGGCCCAAAAACTGTATTTTCACAAGGCCTACTAGGACCCTTATAACTCTGAGTCTCCCTCTAAACCCTATGTAGACCCTAAACCCTAAACCATCACTCTAAACACTATGTAGACCCTAAACCCCCAGACACTAAAGCGCGTTTCACTGTGAAGGTGATGTGAATGTTCTCCGGGCATTGCTGGAGCAAGGGGCAGACGTCAACGCCCAGGATGACTATGGCTGGGAGCCCAGGGTTTAGGGTTCAGGGTACCCTAAACCGTACACCCTAATTGCAAACCCAAATATTAGTTTTTTTGCGTACGGGAACCATTCAGACTGCAGTGGTGGGGACATATCGCCTAATCATGTGGGTATATACTCGGATCCCAAAGTATAAGGCATTGCGGCTTAGGGTTTAAGGTCCGTGGCTTAAGTTTTTTCCGATATACAGCTTTTGAGGTTAGGGTTCAAGGCTTACCTACATTCAGGGTAACGGGTTGGGTTCAGGGTTCAAGGCTTTGAACCCTAAACCCTAAATCGGATTTGGGCTAAGCAGATTTTGGGGCTTGAACTTTTGTTTTGCTGGGGGACTGCGGATTTGCAAGATACTGAAGCATCAGAAAGTCTGAGTGTCCAGAGGTCAGATCCTGGGTCTAGGCTTTAGGGTTTAGGGTTTGGGTTTTAGGGTTCAGGGTTTAGGGTTTGGGGTTTAGGGTTTGGGGTTTGAGGCGGACTTGTTGTTGCAGCGTGGAATCTCGGGAATCGCTTGATGTTTTGGTAGGTGGACACTTGGGGGTGGTGCCCCGATTTTCAGGACCACTCTTGCGTTGCTTGCGACGTGTTCCTATTATGGTTCTTAGAGGCGGGAGTTCGCCATCTGACAACATCCTTTTGTTGCATTAAACTCCCCTGTTACTACCATTTCCCTGAACCACAGATGCTACAAGTTGAGACACCCCCCGGGAACAAAAACAACTGCGGCTCCCACGAGCCCAAGATTCTTGATATATAGTCCCCCTGAAGTAGATAGAATATGGGGTATTTGGGGATCTTGGTACAATATACCCCAAGCCACACTTTATTTACTTAAGGGGGACTATATCCTCTGAGTAAAAGTCCCTGACCCAAACCAGCAGACCCAGGGTTGACCCTTGGGCTTTGAGAATCTCTAGCTCTCACTGCCGATATTGACAGCCCATATAGCAACATTTTTGATGTGAAAGGCCATAATTCTGGTACAGCCCTATGAACTGTACACAGCAGCTCATGTTCAACCTATTCTAAGTTCTACCCGTTGATGTTTCTTGCCAGGCTGGACAGCTTTGCGCATCTTTGCTGCACAGACTTTTATGTCAGTGGGCATTCCTGCTCTGAAGGCCCTTGAGTCAGGCTTCTGGGTTTCGGGTTAAGGGTTTAGGGTTTAGAGTGAGGGATAGTATGCCTGTCCAGTATAGGACACGCCCAAAAGGATCCATGATTTTGAGAAATCTCGATGTCTGTTGGTCCAGAAGCGCGCGGCTCAAGATCCATCCTCCCTGCATCTGCAGCAGCAATCGATCCTCCAACCAGTCATCGCCATGGGATCTGTCACCAGTTTGCTCCTGAACTCTCCTGAGCATTGTGTTTTTTAATTTAGGATAATGGAGAATAAGATGGAAACTACTATAGTGGGCTATACAGGGGTTATTAGGGTATACATTGGGGGTTATCTAGGGATAATGGAAAAGAGAATGGAAACTACTATAGTATAATGGGTTACCTTGGGGTTATCATTGAGTTTGGGATTTTCTGTTTATTGTTAACACCAGAGAAAACAAAGCATAAACCTAAGCCCTGCAGATATTCCGGATCAACGAAGGAACCCCAAACATCTCCTAGAAGATCCCTAGGTTCCCAGATGACGGGAGAACCCGTACATGTGTCAATCATAATAAAGGCCCGACCTGTGGGCCCATGGGTAGCCAGCAGTAGCATTGTAAGTAGTGTACTGCAACAAGATTATGATCATGGCTACGGTACATCCCAAACCCTAAGCCCTAAGACCTGTACGGCTCTTTGGGGCTTTTCTGGGGCAAGGTTTGGGCTTTGTGGGCGAAGTTATGGGATGTCATTATAAGGGTCCAAGAGCTTCTTCCGGGTGACCTTAAGTAAGTCATGACCCCACGCCCTACACCCTAAGACTTCCCATCCTCCTAGCCCTGCCAAAAAGCCATGATAGCCTTTGGCCCACGGAAGGTCTTAAAAGCTCATAACCTAAACTCCTTAAAGGGGTTCCATGCGGGAATATATTGGGATCCAGGAGTTTACAGCATAGCTCATAAAACCCCCATACATATACCCTATCATTACTAGTTTTCATGTCTTATTATCCCTACATAAAATCTATTACGACCTCTATATAAAGCCTACGTGGCCCCCATGTTGTAGGAGTAGCATAGGTGCGTGAAGCTTAGTACCGATGCCTCCGGCGAGCTTGTAAAGCAATCACCCAATGCGAAGCTGGGGTTGGCCGAAGGCGAAAAGGTTCTAAAAGCTCAGGTGCGGTGTCGCAGAAATTGCGAGGTTTTTGGGGGGGTAAAGGGTTCAAGGGGTGAGGGGTTAAGGGCTTAAGCTTTCACATTTCAGGTTTTGGGTCTAGGGTTGGAAATCAAGCAGATCGGGGTTCAGAGTCTTTAGCCCGACTTGGTTTGAACTCTAAAGCCTAAATCCTAAACCCTCAACCCAAACATCAAGCCCTAAACCCTCAACACAAACCCTAAACAGTAAACGCTATAAGGTCTAGGGTTTAGGTTTAGGGACCCTGAACTTCAGAAGAGGTGAGGCAGGGAACCCCAAAAGTTCTAAAACAAACCACGAGCCAGGTGTATTCCTTGCATCACCACTGGCATCTGGGTCCAAAGTCTGGCATGTTGTGGGTTTAGGGTTTAGGGCACGGGATTAAGGCTTAGGGGTTTCGCTTTCCTGGATGATTTGTTTTGCACGCTAGGTCAGCTTGTTGCAGCTATTGAGGGGTTCAGGGGTAGCTGTATTAATTGGAGCTACAAGCAGGGAAGCCGTTCTTATGACCCAATGTAAGTTAGTCACCGCCTGCTTACACGTGGTGGGTTGTGCAAACTGTGGTCCCTTTTTGCTACCCTGTTGCAGTAAGAAAGAAAACATGCTTTTGGATACCTAAATCCTAAACTCAGTCCTCACCCCTAAGCCCTGAAACCTATTCCCTAAACCTCAAACCTTGATCTGAGATGCAGCCCTTGAAACCTTGAGCTCTGAACGGCCATCAGCCAACCCCAAACGCTTTGAGCCAGAAACCCCTCAACTCTAAACCCAAAACCCCAAAAGAAGGCCCTCAACCCCATGAGACCTATAAGCCCTAGAAGCCCTGAAGCCTAAACCCCAAACCCGTGAGGCCCAAACCCCATAAGCCCTGAATCCCAGACCTGTCATCAGACTCCCCACCCTAAATCCCAATCCCTATCAACCCTAAAACCATAAACCTTAGATCCCAAAGCAACCCAGGTGTGAGCAGGATCGTTGGTCGGATTGGTACGAGCTGCGACTTCTCGAAGATGGTACCTGCACCTGGTGGAAGGTGGCCTGAAACAACATTAGGGTTTAGGGTTAAGGAACGTCCATTCAACCAGCATTTGGGTTCTTGGCGTTTTGAGTGCAAGGAATTTGGTACAGGTTGGGATAGTACATCATTGTTGAGTACTTGGATTCCCTCGGCGTTCAGGGGTTTTCTTGTGCTTGGGTTGTTTTGGGTCTAGGCTAGTGGTACAAAAGTGGGATTCTGCTGATTAGACGGTGATCAGATGTGCAATGCGAACAGGGGTTTAGTGTTTCGGATTAAGCCCTTAAACCTTAGGGCTTAGGCTTTACTTCTGCAGGGGTGGGAGTAAGGCATGTATGAAAGGGCTTGTGGTGGCCAGGGCAGATTCTTAAAAGGGCATGCTAAAGGTGAGGTGTCCACACAGTTCATAGATTATGTGCGTGGTCCTTTTCTGAATTCATGACTGCTTGTTGGGGTGTCTTTCTGCTTCAGTGCATTATCATGTGTGTTCTGCGGATGTATAGCAGGAGTCATAGTTTATGACGTCAAGTGGCTCCCCTTTGCCAAACCCTAAGCCCTAAACCCTAAAAACCCTAAACCCTAAAACCCTAAACCCTGAACCCTGAACCTAGGCGGAGTGCGGAGCTGGTAGACTGGCCGGTAACAGAGCAACGAAGCACGACAAGTTTCTCATGGATGGTACGTACACCCTGAGGACAACTGCGACAGGTGACTGGAAACTACCTAGACCCTCTTCCTACCCTCTACTAGGGCCTAAGTACCTACTATTAGGGACCATATATCCCCAATTAAGGGTAAAAGGAGGGTCCTGGTACATTGTTGAAGATCCTCTTTTCTTTTCTTTTCTTTTTCTCAAGCTTTTCCTTGATCCTATGCAGTACACATAACCACTTGAAACTCAGAGCCCTGATGTGCTTACGTGAGATGAAGCTATGAATGGTTTGTAGAACTCCCTGGGAATGTGTCTGTAAAGTGTGGGGTGAACATGCATGGAAAGTACCTCACAAAATGCTCCTGTAGCTGGGGGCACGGCGCTATGGTTTTCTAGCGAGACGTGGCGCAAGGAAAGTTTATCGACCTGAAGTGGCAAAACGGACGTACAGAATCGCTTGACGAGAGCCAGCTGCGTAAGGGTTCCATCGTGTGACACTGTGAGATTCAGGGTTTGTATATGATTTAGGGTTTCGCGGTGAATGCGTGGCCAAGCCGCAGCATCGAAACATCCGCGCCCGGCCAACGGAACAGGCCAGTGTACAGAATCTGACCTGTATCATCTTCCGCCGCCACCACGGGCATAATTATTGCAAGATGACAGAGAGCACTCTGGAACACAGGAGCATGACAACACTGACCACGCCTGTCTTCGGAAAGCTAAAGTTAAAGACCCGTATATTTACGGCGCCAGAGTCTATGAGGCATGCAAAGATCTTTCTCTGACATCCCGTGACCTGTTCTACGGAGCAGGGGTACGTGTACAGTCGTGGATGTGAGCGTGCAAAAAATGAGACTTGTGGAAATAGAGTTTGGTACAGAGACTGGGTTGCGCACAGTAGCGCGGTTTGGGGCTTCTCATGCTCAGGTAGAGGTTTGCAGTACTGTTCTTGCTGGACTTCTCTGCTGCGCGAAGGGCACCTGAAAGAACCCTGCATTGATGGCATCGCACCCCTTATCTTGGTTCAGAGCTCAGCTTGAGCAAGCTGCGTGAAGACGAGCAGATTCCCGCCCTACATCCGCCCCACCCTTCCTGAGGCGTTTCGTCTTCTATATCTGCCCATGTGATTATTACCCCACGGTCTCCAAAAGCGCATGTTGGCAAGTTGACAAAGTTAGAAGCCCTTCTGTCTTGTGTATCTGGTATTAGTGTACTAGATTTCCTGGAGCAATGCAGAATGCAGTCTCTAAGGCCAGGAAATTCACGCACCCAGACTTTAGTTGTCAACCCTTTTAAAAGAAGCCCTTATGGTGCCGAAGCCATCCATTGCCCGAGTTGGACCCAAGTGCACACCCTTACTAAACCCCATTACCCCTAAACCCCAAAACACTAGAACATCTGCGACGACACGTCATCCTTACGAGATGCTGAACAGGAGTCAACAATCTTCAGCTGGAATATCGGAAGTCCCCACATAGCCCTAAGGGCTTGTCATGGTATTGCAAGAACTCCAGGCGGCACTTTCTCGTAGGAGTTTCTTAAGATGGAATACTCTGGGGGATGTTAGTATGAAGAGTGATTAGGCAAGGCCATGTATGAGGGATTGTCTATGTGTTACTTTGAGACATGGCATGTTGCACTATGTATGTCATGCGCCCCGGCATGGGTGTTGCAGAAGAAAATGAGGTATGCGCATCTTAAAGACAACGGGCTTCCTGCTGCGACGGTAGGCATTCGCCTTTATTGTGAGCAATGATACAAGAACCCTCATGTCGAGCCTATAACCCAAAGGGTCCAAGGACCCAAATCATGGGGCTTTAAAGCCCAAATACTACAATTTGAATTGTTTTTGGACCTTAAAACCCTAATTCTTGGGTCCTTTGACCCTAAACCCTAAAACCCAAACCTCAAACCGTAAACCCTGAACCCTATAATTTGGGTCCTTGGGCCCAAGGGGTAAGAAGTGAAACCTTGAACGCAAAAACCTCCACCCCAGTTACTGAATTCTGTGCCTCCCCTAGAGGGTCCAAGTACCCAAATAAGGGGGTTCTAGGTCCCCAATACTATAATCTGAATTGCTTTTGGTATTTTTGCCTGAAAAACGGGGTTCTAGGCCCCCAGCATTATTATCTGAATGGTTTTTGGTACCTAAAAACCCAATATTTGGGTACCACCCGAATCTTGATGCACACATGGAGTAGGTTCCCTAAGCACTGCAAGAACACCAACAAGTCCCACTCGTGGGGGATTGCACAAGGGAGGTGGTATGGCGAGTCTGGCGATAGATGGGGAATTACTTGCCTACAGCTGTCTCCCAACACGAAAAGTTAAGGGGAGATGGAGTCAGTATGAAGTCAGGCTTTGGAGGGTTTAGGGTTTGGGGGGGGGGTTGGGTTTAGGGTTTGAGGGTTTAGGTGTATGGATGGATCTGATTTTCCACGATGGGTAGGTGCAAAATAATTGTGCAGCGGTTTTGGCAGATTCCCGGTCAATGCCTCACAGCGGTATCTATCATTCTAGTTTCTTTCTGGTGTGTCTGTCTAGCTTCAAAGACCCCAAGAGTCTAAGTATTCAATCATCATATACTAACCCAGAACCTGTCCTATAAACTGAAATTACTATTTCCCAGTACTTAATTATTGGGCACATGGACCCTTATCCCTAAACCCTATACATCCCTATAGATCCCGATATACCCCTTTTAATTTTAAGGGCGCCCAATACTTGGGCACGTGGACCCTTCGGATATGAGAGAAACTGATTGTCAAACTGGGCACAGGCCCAACGGATTAGGGTTCGGGTTTAGTGTGTAGGCCTGCACTTCCATAACACGTGGGAAGCCCTTGGCACAACGCCCCACGTTGCGGCATGTCAATACGACATCTTGAAGGCCGTGAAGCAAGTTCCTGCAGGTATATAACCCTAGAACGAGGCCCTCGACCGCTCATCCAAAGCCACGACCCAGGCTTCGCCGTCCGAAAGCGTGCGACGGAAGCAGTGGAAGTCTTGATACAAGGAAAAGCAGATGCCACTCGGATCTTTTGTTTACCTAGACCCTCCATCTACCCTCTATTAGGGCCTAAGTACCCGCAACTAGGGGCCACATATCCTCAATTAAGCGTACCAGGAGGGTCTCGGTACTGATGCTGTTTGACAAAGTTTACCCCTTCTGTGGCCCTGCGATGAAGACTTGAGTCTAGTCGGGCGCGGTTTGCAGGGTTCAGCAGAGAGGTTGAGGCTTTGGTAAAGGGCGTGTTGTTCCAGGTTTGAGCGTTGAGGGTTTCGGGTTCAGAGGTTTAGTCGGATTTGAAATATACTGTAACTAGACCCTCCTCCTACCCTCTGTTAGGGTCTAAGTACCCAATATTAGGGACCAAATATCCCCAAATAAGGGTACTAGGAAGGTCCTGGTAGCTTTTTTTTTCTGACTTTTCCTGCGGCTCCTCCTCTGTTTATTGTTATTCTATCTCTGTTGTAACCATCGAGGTTTTAAGGTTTTCGACTTGTACATGGCGGATTATTTGGGGCCTGAAGAGGTACAGGAGTTGCAGGTCGATAGCTTTGGATTGAGAGGTTTTTAGGGTTTAGCAGCTTGTTATCTCCCTCCTCTTCCTAGGGGGCACAGGGGGCTACGTGTCGAAAATCATGGACTCCTGTTCACCCTAACCCTTGGGATCCAAACAGGCCAAAGTAGGTACTTGTTTTATAGACCTAGGGCCGAAAGTAGGTATCATTAGATTTAGACCCCCAAGATAAAGCCAAAACTCTCAACGCCTAAATCCTTGAGAACCTAACCCTTCTACCCGGGAACGTCAAGCCCTCAGCATCGGTGCAGGCCTTGAACCCAGGGCCCCAGCACAAATCTCGGGATGGATTTGGAGCCCTGAACCGTACAAACCCTAAACCCTAAACCTACAAACCCTAAACCCGGCAAACCCTAAACCCTACAAACCCTAAAGCCCGTTTTGGGTTTTAGGCTGTTTGATGTCCATGGAAGTCCTGAAAGTCCACTCTCCCTCATGCCTTTAGGGCACCGGAATGAGAATCTGAGTGCTATCCCAATATGATTTAGGGTTAAGGGTTTAGAGTTTTAGGGTTTTAGGGTTTGGGGTTTAGGGTTTTAGGGTTTAGGGTTTAGGGTTTTAGGGCTTCAGGGTTTAGGGTTTAGGGTTTTAGGGTTTAGGGTTTAGGGTTTCCCAACAATAGGGGCACGGTTTTGGTCCCCATAATATGGACTACAGTATGTTGGGGTCTGTTTTGGGCTCCCTAATTTAAGGAAGCAGACCTCAAACCCAAAGGATCCTAGGTACTTAGATAGGGGGTACTGACCCAAACCATATTCCTAACTCAGAATATGGAAGCCCTACTTTGTATCATCTAGATACTTAGGATCCTTGGGGAAAGATGCAGCCAAGCCATTGGAATTCTGAGGAACTAGCAGGTTCGAGTAGACCCCATGGCAGTATAGCAGTTGCAGTTCGAGTAATCATCGGGAATTATACACCAAAGAGGATTGTCTTGGAAGCCAGGCAAGGGATCTTCTTGAGGATGCAATTCAATAGGCATATTTCAGGGAAACTGCGACCTTGTTCAAAGTCCTTCAATGCGATATACGTCAGGAAGTGTACGTGAAGTTTCCTATTACAGCGGACAATCCCCTGAGTATTCAGGCTTGTGTTTTGGCAAAGCTCAGGTAAACTTGGTTTCGAACTCCGGACGGTCGCCGCTCATGAGCCTTGCTTGAACAAGCTTCCTTGGGGCAGGGCCTCAAGAAGCTACGCAGAGATGTATATATGGTGGGGGGGGGGGGGGGATTCTACAGGTCCTCGTAAAGAAGTGACCATTGGCAATACATTCCTTCAAGGGGGATCCTACCCCAACATGGGAATTTACTTTCTGGCCAAGTTGTGCACAACTACCATAGACCTCAGTAGGCATGCATGGAAGGAGGTGCCGTTGCAGTCAGGGTCTCCATATATACACATATACACACATGCTCACCCCCCTTGATCCACCGAAGAGGATTCTTCGTTCTAAAAAACGTATTTCAGTCCAC